AAGAATGTACTAAAGCATTTTCTGGATCAGGGAAAGGTCATTAGGATGGGTGTCCCCACAGACATGGGTTCTTCCATGATGCTGGGGAGCCACGGGCTGGAGGTGTTGGATAAGGAAGAAAGAAAGCAAGGCAACACAGATACCAAAGAATCCCCCTTCTGATGCCCAGATATGGCACAGCTGGTCATGGCTGACAAAGTTAGCAGCACCTGGAGACAGGAAATTTTAAAGAGGACTAAGAAGTCACTATCATTTGGTGCATAGTTTCTCTCTTTACTGGGTTTCTGGGATCTTTCCATCAGGCTACAAGGGGCAGAGAAGGGCAGTTCTTTGGAAAGTAAAGGAAGCCAACCAGGTTTACCATGGAAGGCATTTAGCATAGCACTTGGCATATAGTCTATCTTCCTTGACATCATCACAGCCAGAGAGTTAAACAGTAAACTTTATTGTTCTCAGTCCTATTGGCTTCCATTTTTGGTCCTCAGTGACTCAAATTCCTCTAGAGCAGCGGTTCTCAACCTGTGGGTTGCAACCCCTTTGGGGGTCGAACGACCTTTTCACAGGAGTCTCCTAAGACCATCAGAAAACAAAAAGATATTTACATTATGATTCATAACTTTACCAAAATTACAGTTGTAGAGTAGCAACGAAAATAATTTTATGGTTGGGGGTCACCACAACATGAGGAACTGTATTAAGGGGTCACGGCATTAGGAAGGTTGAGAACCGCTGCTCTAGAGGCTTATTCCAAGATGGTTGGGGTGGGAAGGGCTTCCACCTCTGAGCAGTGCTTTCCTCCTTATAAAAGGGTCTCAGTGTCAACTGCTCCTCACCCTCAGGCTGGGCTGTCTTAGCAATACCTGTTGCCTTCTAGGTGTCTGGCCTCTTGTATTGCTGGGCCTGGGGTTTCTCCTCCCAGACAACACCTCCATCATAATCCCTTTCCCCTTCTTTCTCACGTCTCTTCTACTCAGCACCGGTCTGAAACAATCAATTCCTGGCCAGAGTGGGTGAGACTGAGGGAGGCCAGGACAACAGGGTCCTCTTGTCCACCAGAGTAAGTGAGAGTCTGTGGCTTTTTTACGTTCACTTTGTCCTTTTCTCCCTAAGGCAGATCTGCCCAGTGACAGTTTATGTCACACTGCTGGTTTCCAGCCTGGAACAGGGCCTCTGTGGCGGGTCCTGCTGTGAGTGGCTGTGTGAGGACACCCCCGAGGCTACCATGTATCCTGGGCTCTGCCCAAGCTGCATCTCACTCAAGCAGGGTGTGTCCACGGAAGGGCAAGTCTCTAATTAGTGAGAAGGCAGAGCATGTGCTTGCTCAGTCCCGTGTATGCTCCTCGTTAAAAAAAAGTGCCTGTATTTTCAGAGGATGGATTAGCATTCGGGAAAAAGTTTGCTTTTTCTTTAACATTTCCGGAATGAAATCCGTGACCAATTTTAAGAAGGCTAGGCTTTAGAGCATTGTGTAGGAGGCACATGCACACACCTCGTTACAATCAGCGGCACTCATTCAGCACACCCACTCTAGACTTCCAATTTCTCCTCCAAGACAGCAGCAATTTTCAGACACTTAAAACACTTACATTTTATACTATGCTTACTACAACTGACTAAAGGTATAGTCAGCTGTCCGTAGAAATAGCTATAGGTAGATGAATTCAATGTTAACCCAGATTTTTACAAACCTACATGCATATCATGGCTAAAGACCATGTATCAGTCAATGTCCATAACAATAAAGAATAAGAAATTGAGGAACTGTGAGTTCATTCACACTTCCATATTCCAAACCCTTTGCTTACTGTTCATGTCAATTCCATAGTAAGAGAAAGCAGCTGCTGGCATTTCCCTAGGTATACTACAATTTCACTTTCTGCCATCCTTTGGGTTCATGTCTCAAAGGGAAAACAGATTTACTATTAAGTCATTTTGGTGTTTAAAAAAATCAAACCATCATGGACGCTGTCCAAGAAACACGACCTTAACTCCGCTCTGTAGCGAAGACTAATCACTGGGTGCAAAAGCAGCGTTTGATAGCCCTTGGGAACTGAGTGTTGAAAACGCACTCAAGTTGAGAGAACTATCAGAAGAATTCACTCTAAAATATCCAAACACTTCCTCGCCTCTTTCAAGAAAGCAAAATATATGACTTAACCTTTTCTTAATGACATAGGGCATTAAGAAAGAACAGTACATATGAAATTAAGAGGGCTTGCTTTGACTCACTGAGTCAATGCACACTGGGAGAATGATCTCTGTTATTCACTGCGCCTTCCTGGGCTTGTCATCTTATGATGGGATCGCTACATCCCTCAGGGCTGTCTAGAAGATTAGGTTAAATGGCACACATCAAGCGACTAGGGCAGGGCTCTGGCTCTTGCAGAAAGGGCTCCATGAAATGTCAGCCCACGTCCTGTCCCCTCAGTACACAATCTACTGCTGTGTGCTGCAGGCTTGTCACCCCTCTGTGCATGCAAATGTCACTGGGTCATGTGCAGAATGCGTGACTGGGCAGAATAAATGCAACTCCAGGTCTGGCCCCAGGGCTTGCTTCTATTTCTTTAAGCACTTATACCAGAGACCTACATATATATATTTTTTTTCTCATTTGGCTTTCTTTCTCCTCATAAAAATGGGACATGAGCATATGACTCCTAGGCAATGGGATATGGCTGCCTTTCTGCAAACTTGTTCCCTCTTCCCAAGTCATTTATTTACCCTTCAAAAAGTCAGCTCCCCTTATGCTATTTTCAGTTCATGTTTCATAGACCTTTATACCATAGTTTGAGTTTATAAACATTGTGAATGAAACCACAAAGCAATCAAGGCAAACAATAAGCAGCCACTTATATTTGCATGTGTATTTTACCTTGGCCTTCACAGCAATTTTTGTGCCCTTTTGTTTACTAATGATTTAAACATGCTTTGTAGCCTATAGCTTCTGAGCTTAAAACATTTAGTTGTTAATGAAGCCAAGTACAGAAACTATTTACTTGGGTAGCTTTATCAAAAAAACCAATATTTGCTTTTTCCTCCCCACCGCACACCAGTGAAGTGTGAGCTATGGGTTACCATTTGTACTTTAAAGATGGACAAATGCAGGTGTGACTGTAATTCGGGTATGAAGAGAGAAATATACACAAGACACAAGTTAGAGCGGGTATCTTTCTTTACATCTGTAAACCAGAAAGCATACAACACATTATTTACTCAGCTCACTAGGAATACACTTTAGCAACTCTATGAACAATAACCATCTGCCTTGATTTCCTAAGGCATGAAACCTGGCTGGGCTGACACGACACTAGGTTTGTTACCCATCTCCTTTCTATTCCCCTTTGCACCTGCTACTCAATGGATGATTTTTCTTCACTAGCTACCATTTTCATTTCAGCTGCCAGAGTTGCCTCAATTATCCCATGAAACATATCTCCAGCTCTACTAGCTCTAGAAAAGAGAATGGACAATATCATACCCTTTAATAAGCCTCTAAAGAAGGACATTTAGTAGAAGAGGGAACGTCCAACATTCTTCAGAAAGTACCACCTTCTCCATGAAGGTTATTGAGGGTCCCAGTTGACCACACCCTCCTTTTGGTCTCCACTGTATCTCCTGTTCTGTTTCTATTATACCTCCCATCACAGTAAGGATGTATAATTATGTATATGCCCCTCTCCCCTATCGGGATGTGACCACACAAGAAAAGAGGCCCTGATGTTAGCATAGAAGACACTGAACATAAGTTGGATGAAATGGAATTACAGAACAAAACTTTATAAAAGAAGCTATACATCCAGTCTGTATCTGCATCGATCTAGTTGAGTACTGAGTAGTGCTCAAATATTGGGTCGTCGGGAAAGTCATGATGCATTTTTGCAATGAAAAACTTAGAAAAATACATCATAACTTTCCCGATGACCCAATAAAAAAGGGAGTGGGCAGAATGGGTGAAGAGGGTCAAAGGTACAAACTCCCAGTTATAAGTCCTGGGGATGTAATGTACAGCGTGGTGACTACAGTTAACAATACCATATTGTGTATTTGAAAGACGCTAAGAAAAAATTAGACGTCCTCATCGCAAGGGAAAAATTGTAACTATGTGTGGGGACAGATGTTAACTAAGCTTATTGTAGCAATCATTTTGCAATATATACATAAATAAAATCATTATATTGCACATCTAAGACTCATATAATGTTGTATGTTAATTACATCTCAATTTAAAGATAATCTATAATTTATATTATGTAATTTATATTATTTTACAAAAATAATTTATAAAATGGGTTCTAACAATTGTTTCACTAACATAAAACTAGTTGAGAACCACAGAGCTTCAGAATATGGATTCATATTGTCTTCATGCAGTTTCGTTTTGATTTGTTCTGACAGTTGTTCGCTGACATGGCTCTTGGATTCTATTGGCTGTCATTATTATGCTTTCATTTTTAAAAAATAGGAAAAAAAATGGAAGTTCTCTGGAGACCCCTGTAAGTCCTACACTACGTTTAGTCATGAACCATTTTGGCTTTTAAACCATCACATTCTAATCTATTACTTGATACCCTGACATTGAGATATGTGTGGAGGACATGGTGCAAAGATGCTAGACTCAGCCTTTGGAGGCTTTAAATGTTTCTGGTCTTGTTTTTAAGCCAGTAAGGCCATGACTGAGTCACTGAGCTTCAGTGATAATAATGAGATTTCAAGTTATTTTGCCAACCCTTTCCCATACAACAGTTCTCTAGGATATTTTAAAATGACACCAGCAAACCACTGAGCTAAGATTAAAATATTATGTTCCCTGGGTCATATTTGAAACCATGTTTACTTACCTTCCCATCATTTTAGTTATAAAATTAAGTAGCTGTGACACTGTTTTTAACATCAAAATGAATAACAAGAAAAGTAACTAAACCTCATGTTTCAAGGAGAATCTCCTCTGGTTAGGTACAAGTAAAAATGTTCAGCCTCTCAGATGTCGTTTTGAACCATACCTGTCCTGTGTATGCAAACTCCAGAGCCTGCTTTAAGCCAAGGCTGGTCACGCCATGTAAATTCACCTCGTCAGCTCCACTTTCCACCATACAAAGGCTGAACATTGCCTGAGGTGGGAAAGAAAGGAAGAGAGTCAGAGAAATATGGAGCGTTAAGAGGCAAGGGAACAAGAGAAAGTCCTAGAGAGGCTAGGAAAGAAAAAAAAAATTACAACTTAAAAAAAAATTTACAACTTCTGAATCATTTCTTCAAAGCTTCACTCACATGAGCCGCTGCAAATCACTTTGCTGTCTAACCAGGTACAGTAACACACACACACAGCACTGTACACTTCCCACGCAGAGTCTCATTTAATCCACAGCCACTCTCTGGGGTGATTGTGCTCACGCCCACTCACAGAACTCATTCTCTTGATCCTGGGGGGTCACTGCTATCATGCATGTGTAGCACTCCCAAAGGTTCTCACCAGTAGGACATGGAAAGCAGCACTCTTGTCTCCCGACTTCTCCTCCTTTTTCCTGCCTCACCTCCATGACACATCTGATTTCTCTCATCTGCCACAGATCACACACTCTATTCCAGTGGTTCTGAAAATGTGGCCCCTGGACTGGCAACATCAGTATCATCCAGCAAATCGTTCTAGATTCTTGGGGCCCAGCCATCTGGGTTGCCATGGGCCATCCAAATGACACTGATGCTCACTTGAATTTGAGAGCCACTGTCTTCAGTTAGTAAGTGAAAATCAACTTGCCCCCAAACCAATTCCCCAGATGGCCAAATTATTGAAAATCAGTTCTTCCACGGAATGATCAGTATGTCAAATGGAAACTTGAGAATGAAAAAAATGAAAACTTGCCAAATTAAACAAATGGGTTTGACCTCCCCCTTCCAAAAAAGGCCCACATTAATTTGTACACCTTTAACAAGTTTGTGTTAAAAGATATAAAGAGAATATTCAGTTTTGTGTTACTGATGATTAAATACACTATTTAGATTGTATGTGTCTGTGTAGTGAAGAATTACCTTACACACAGAGAGAGTCTGCTTTTGCCCTGAGCTTCTGGACGGTGACCTGCAGGCCCTTGAACTATCCTCCCTGATAGGAGTGTCTCTGTCTGGGAGCTTTTATCACTGACAGTCTAGCAACACAATTTATGATAGGGGTCTTGGGCAAAATCATATCAGTTCTAACCTCCAGAGGAACTGGAAACTAAAGGTATTAACTTGACCTCCAGGAGAGGCTGGAGATGAAAAGTCGGCCACACAGCCAGTCTGTGATTGAGCCCCAGTAAAAATTCTGAGCCCCGGGAGCCTGGGCGAGCGTTCCCGGATGGCGGTTTTCTGTGCACACTGTCACACAGCATGGCCGGGGCAGGTAACAGTATGACTCCATGGGGGGAGGATGGCCAGAAGCTCCATATTTCGTCCCTGTCAGCACTCTACTCTATGTGTCTCTTTCCTTGCTTGGTTCTAATTTGCATCCCTTCCCTGTAATAAGCCATATCCATGAGGATAAAAGCTTCCAGTGAGCTCTGTGACTCTGTCTAGTGAATTATTGAACATTAGAGTAGTTTTAGGAATCCTCTCAAACTTGCAGTTGGTGTCACAAATGAGAAAAGTCTTGAGGGGACTGTCCCTTCAAATTTTGAAGTTTGGCTAATGTCACAGAAATAAAACCGAAAAACTGAGCAACAATAACACACCTCACTGTCCTATGCAATAATATTTCAGTTCACACTCAATCTTTTTAATTTTAAAAATGTGATGTTTTGCTTTGCCAGTGTACCATTATTTATCTTTTAGCAAATTTTTATCGTGATCAATTTATTTTTTGATCCTCACAATTCTATATATTTTAAATTAAGACTATACTTAACTTTCAGAAATTTATCATGAATAAACAAAATCTAACCTTTAAAATCTCATCTCCATCTATCCTTTAGAAGCTGTGAAAGACGAAAGGTCAATATGGCAAATCTGCGACCTGGTTAGTTAGTGAGTTGATCTGACTTTCCACTGTTGTCACCGGCAGCTATTTCAAGTACTCTGTGGTAGGTTAAGAACACTGGATTTGAAGTCACATAATCCTTGATTTGGCAAAGTACAGTGGTTAAGGGCAAACCTGTGACCAAACAATTCTGGGTTTGAACACTAGCAAGTGACTAGGACAAACACAAGTGGTTCCGTTTTCTTATCTGAAAAATGGGGCTAAAAATTGTACCTACTTCATGAACTCATTTGAATACTATATGGTAGTATGTATATAAAGTATTCAGTACAGTGCCTGACATATGGCAAGCTCTTGGCAAAATTTATATTTTGTGATAATAAAATAGAATGAAGTTTCTTTTACGTATCCTATGGTTAAAAGGATTGATACATTAGAAGTACCCAATTTCTGGGGTTTTGGTATTTTTTTTTTTAAAAATGAAGTGTGACTATACATAAAAAATGCTAACAGGAAATTGACTAATGTGAAATGGATTCTGCTTATGCATTTGTAAAAGATCTGAAATTTTAAAATTAAAAAGCACAGACTGCAATAAAAAAAATCTTTTAATTTATGTGATTCTGAATTTGCTTCTAGACTTCTTATAGCCACTTTTAAAAGAACAGGGAAGAAATTTCAGTTGTTTTCACTGTCTGGTTTTTATTACATTGGTGTGTCAGGTTTTACCAGTCCCCAAATAATGGCTTTTTCCAGATCCTCCAAGCTGCGCTTGCCTCTGATATGGCGACCAGCTGCTCGCCATCATCCCCACATGCAGAGAAAGACAGAAATGACTCAAACTGCAGAAGAATTATCTGGGTTGATGAAATGGAAAAAGTTCCCGAGAGCAAAGTTAAATAAGAGAACAAGCTACCAAGGGAGCTTTTTAAATCTGCTTTTCTAAAATATCTTTCAAAAGCAACCAATGCAACTGGCGTAGAACCAGCATCCTCAGCCAAAGGGTTGTGAGCCGCTGAACTTGAAGCTTGGCTTGGGAGAGTTGGGGAGAGAACACAACCCCTTCAATAATGTACACATATATTTGTACATGTTTTTACAAGCAATACAGGAATGCTAAATTAGTCATTGTGGCTATAATAAGCGGTATGACTGTAGAGGGAAGAAAGATACTATTAATTTTACTCTGATAACATAGTATTATTTGGATCATTACAACAGACATATGTTAACCTGTGTATTTCTACAACTGCCTTTTGCAAATTTTGTTTTATTTTTAATGTTCAGGACTGTGCAGGCAGACACATCAGATTCAAATCCTGGTTCTATAA